TGTCTGCTTCTCTCTGGAAAGTCATTTTCCCCGAAATATGATAATATTTCCTCAGGGAGTGCAGTTAGTTACAGCGTGGCCTCCATGCTTACTGCGACAGCTTGTCGGCCAATGACTAAAATGACAAAATATCTCAATGTTGACCTTTAGTTTTTCACAGGACTCTCCTGGGTCAAAGTCCTGTACATGTTGTTGACCCCAAAACCCGAAGCAGACTTTCTTGCTCTCAATAACACATCTGTCGCTCTGACTGGCAAATAATAGGTTTACAGTGGAGTCTGTTGACAGCCCAGTGCATCCTATACAGATGCTAAATGGTGCTTTGTGCATCTGCCTCTGATGCAAAGGACCCATTACCAGGCTATGTTTTTGATGCCCTGGGAGTGAGACCAGTCTGCCACCCAGCAGTTATTCAGTCTGCCGACTCGCACGTCTCCCTGTTTGGTAGATCAGCCTCTCTAACCCCATTAACCAGCTCTTCACTTCCTCAATCAGCCTCCTTATCTGTTTCTCTGCTGCCCTACTCTCCAGCTGCTCCTTTTTAAATGCTTACCACCCGCCCTCTGACAGCTAGGTAACCTTCCCTCTGTCTCCCAACCTATTAATTTCCCCCCCGCTCCTCTATGAATTAGTTCTCAGCTTCCAGGTCCCCTTCTCTGCTTCTCTGCCCGAGCTTGCATCTGTTTTTTATTCTCTGGCTGAACCTGTCTCTCTGTCTGAGCCTGAATCTGTTTCTCAGCATGAGCTTATAGCTTCCTCTTAGCCTGTGTCTTTCTGAGAGCTTCACTGCCCGAGCCTTTATCTGTCCATCAAGCTTGAATCTATCAGTCCTTTAGTTTGCTCCGGTATCCCTGTTGGAGCCAGCAAAGCCTGCCAGTATTCCTATTCTATACCCTGCGTCTGTCCATCCTGCCTTTTCTAAGCTTTAGCACCAGCGTGTTTCTATTCGTATGTAGCTCAAGTCAGTATCTCTATCAGGTCTCCCTTAAATCTCTGCCCCAGTCAGTATCCTGTCATTATCAGCCTGCACCCTTTGGTCTGTCCTCCAAACCCTGCACTCTAGCATCTTAACCCCTCTGACTCAGGTCAGCCTGTTTCTCTTGTGATACAGTTTCTGGTCAGATGATCCTAAGCAATCCTGTCTGCTTATCTGAATAGTTGCAGCTCCTTATGCCTGCCCTGTGCTCAGGACGTCCACTTGACTCCAGCACACCTGTGCTTCTTACAACCTTAGGCAACAGGAGTGTGGTTGTCCACCTGCTACCTGCCTCTTTCAATTACCTCACACAGGCTGACATGCAAGTTTGCTCTTCCCCCATTGTCAACATGGTCAACCTTGCACATCATTTGTCTTGGGTCAACCCTTTCCTGAACTGTCCTCAATTCCCTGGCATCTTAATCAACATTGTGAGGCTCCCCTGCAGAGGGTTCTGTATTATTGATGTCTCCATCACCTCCTTCCTCCTCCTTATTTAGTCTCAGTCTTCATCCTGCCGTCTGCTCTGTCTTGCCTCACCTGCCCCCTAGTTGTCCTCAGTGAGTTCCCCTCCTTTAAAAGTCACCTGACCCAGTCACCTGGACATCCAGCTGCTTCTCATACACAATTAACCCCAGTTATCTTAAAGCTTTTATGTTACTTTACTGTGGTTGTCCCATTCCTGCCTGCCTTTTTCTGGATTATAATTTTAACAGCTTGGATTTATTTGCCTTATTTGTCCCACTACCTGACGGTTTACAACTATTTCACCATCAGTACTCAGCAAGCTGCACTCTGCCAGGTGTGTCTCAGTGTCTGCATCTCAGTCTGTTGCTAGTCCAAGCTATCAAGTTCAACTCTTTACAAAACTAGTCCATACAAGCCCTGCACTGCCCTGCAGTTTAGTAGCTTAGCAGCCTATTGAACATTGGTACTATTCAGTTCACTGCTAGTATTTGTTTAGGCACCCAGAACAAGTAAACTTGAATCTTGTCCCATGATGGCCCACAGATGATTTGCATACAGCTTGCATCTTGCATGCAAGAGTTACTCTGCTGCAGTGCAGAAAGTACCTGTAATCTCAGATTTTCTTACATTATAAAATACACACATGTAGGTCTGTTTTTCTTTTTTTTTTTACTCATGCTCAAGTGAATATTTATTAAGAAAATGTAAACTGTTTTAAATGCATCTAAAGTATATATAAAAATAAAATAAAGCACTCAATTTTTCATGGAACCAACAAAAAATAATGATAGTGAGTAAAAGTAAACATACTAAGATGCAAGCAATTTTGTCTTTCTTATAATACAAGCAAAATATATCTTAAACAAAGGGTTGAATAGTGTATCCTGCCCCCTACTGGCCTAAAATACATAGCACTTTGCAACAAAACACGGACCTCACAGCAATTTTGAATCTTGATTTAACAAAAATATTTGAGTTTCCCAGCACTTTTGTATAGTCCCAGATTTAGCTACAATTTGGAGGTAATCATTATGCACCTATATGTGCTTTTTTAAATGTGAATATAGCGTATTCAAAAACAAATTTAAGGCACACATTTTTGTTTATGTTTCAGTCATTCATTGTGAGTGTGGTGCCGTGTAGTTATGGGTGATTATTGTCTACAACAGCGCTTTTTTTTTTTTGCAGCTAGCAGATGCTACAGTCAGAAACTACACATATCTGTTTTTGGTTATCATTAGCCTGAAGATACCTCAGGTCTCATACATGTGTTTACCACCTTATAAATATGGTATAGAGGAAAAGAAAAAGACTGCTAGCAAGCAGATAGGGTTTAAATAACACAGGATTTAAAATGCTAAAAAAAAAACAACAATTTGCAAATGTTTGCAAATTACGAGGGTGGAAATTCATTCAACACATTTGTTAGACCTCAAGGATACACTCTGAATGTAGATAGAACCTGTTTGTTTACAAGAACTCCACAGGGCGTTGTTAACAGCGTTGGGTGCTAACAAATTATGTTACTGTGCTCTTGAACCAGTGGTGTTACTTTACTGTCAGTCTCAGTTATATGGCGGTCATAAATTAAACAGTCAATTCTTGGTTTTATTATGACTCTTAATCTGTCTCCTTTTCAGCCTCTGTTCTCCGTCTCTTTTCTGTCTCTCTAGGCCTCTTCTCAGAATGTATTTTTTGCAAAAGATTAAGATTAGAAAAGGTAATGTTAAAGTGCATATGTTACAAGACACAGTAATAGTCTTTCAATTTGCTCTACCAAGTCTCTTGTTCTTTCGGTTCAGCCCTGGGTGCATTATCGCACTAATGCCATGTCTGCACATATAGGTGCATAATGGTTACCTCCAAATTTTAACTAAATCTTACCCTAACACTCTCTAACACTTAAAAAAGTGTTTGAAATAATGTCAGTTGTTGTTTCAACACTAAAATAACATTGAAACAACATTTAATTCTGATGGTTGTGAAAAGGTTAACAAAATTCTCATAAATCAACATTGAAATTTCAGAAGCATCTGTTTCAATGATTAAACAATTTTGAAACAATGTTTAAAGTTTATGAAGCAACATTGCAAAATTAACATTGATTCATCTTTCAAAAATCAACACATAATTTAGCAGTGATTCAACCACTGTGTATGACGTTAATTCAACAGTGAATAAATGTTAGAATTTCAGCTGTTTCTTGGACCCATCCTGAGTGGACTTTCATGCTCTTTAAACTACTTCTGTTTCTCTCACTCAGGAACCCGGTCTCACTCTTAAGTCGTCCAGATCTGGCGTTTGGGCAGTGACTAAAGGCATCCTTTAATGTTGGCATGATACGCGACTGGTAGCCATTATAGTTTAATGGTGCCCGCAGCATGAGGGGGCAACACGGTGGGACAAGGATGAAAGTTAAGGTGGCGAAAATCCGACTGGGGCGTCTGGGAGCGGAGGGGAGGTGGATGGGTCCAACAAACATCAACTTTCACCCAAGAGAGCGGTGTTTGTGTCCTGTAAGATTCTAAAGCCATTGTTTTACCTACGTAGTGCCTTTATTTTGAGAGACTGTATGCAAACGATAAATTTCCTGTGAAAACAGAAGTGTATTTTGAAAGAAGACAATGCGTGTAACAGGCAGAACTTGACACGGTGTCCCAGAACGTCAACAACCAACACACCCAGGGTACCTTGCACGTTGTATGTGGACGTGGAAAGTCCATGACCAAACGACAATATGTGACGAAGTCGGAGTGAGGATGTGTTGCACACCGACGCTAAACGGTGCCCTCGGTGTCACTTCAATGACACGAGAGACACTGCCCATGCAGCGTATTTTGACGCCCTGGGAATGAGACCAGGCTGGTCCTCCAGTTTCATATTGTCAAAGTGATTCTTTCACTATTTGTAGAATTCCTCTTATTAAAGGAGTGGCAGTGTTTCCAAAGGATCAACGACTCAATGAACTCTATTACTAATTTGTTTATTCTGCTCTCATTGTTCGAGATGTTCTTATTTTATTTCTTAGTTTATTTAATCAAACCCTAAGTTTTATTATGGAAACCTGATTTTTACAAGGTCTAACCACGTGATTCAGGGGAGTGGTTTTATCTGGAGTTATCAAGATTTAAAGACATCTGCCAGCCAATCAGAAACAGGCACTTTTAATAGGCAAGATTAAAGTAATGCAACGAAAACACGTTGCTTTGTAACATAATTAAACATGTGTGCCTCCTGTTACAGAGAGAAAGAGTGACAGATATTCAGACAGGGGGGAGTGGGATGTGACATGTTTCTGCGCTTACTATTCATTTCGAATGGGACACTGATATTAACCTGAAAGAGGGGGTAAAGCCAGAATGTGAGGGGGTTGAGCAGCCCACTGTGTGTGTGTGTGTGTGTGTGTGTGTGTGTGTGTGTGTGTGTGTGAGAGAGAGAGAGAGAGAGAGAGTGAGAGAGAGACAAGCAAGATATATGTGAACTGACACACAAAACGACAGAAGCGAGAGAGTCGCACACACACACACACACACACGCACACACACTCAGCACAGAGAGGGAAGGAGGAGGGCGCGCTGATCCTCAGTCGGTGTGTGAGGGAACAGACGAAGTAGAGACCTGCACACACACACACTCACTCACTCACTCTCTCACACACACACACGCTTACACTCTCTCACTGTGTCTTTCTCTTGCGCTTCGCACGGAGCAGAGGGGGAACGGGAAGGGAAGAATGAGGAAGAAGTCCCAACAAATGCGGGTTTGCTGATGAAGCGCCGCTCCGGTTATCCGATCATACAGGTCGCGCTGCATGGAAACGAGGAGTCGGCAACAGCAGAAAACAACAGCAACAAATAAAAAAGCTGTCAGTGCATGGGAATCCGGTCACCTCTCCCTTTCTTTTGTGCGTCTCGCTCGGTGGATACGCCGCCTTGGCTGGCGTATAAGAGCTCCCTGCGTCTCCATTACCATTCCCCACTACTGGCTTACCTCTACTACTACTACTACTACTCCTCTTACTCCTCATTACCAGTAGATCTATAGTGCTGCTTTTACTACTGACTGTCTCCTCCGGATTGGGAGCACTCTCTGGATAATAAGGTAGGATATTCTGCAGTTTTCTGGGCACGTTTCGCCGGGGATAATGATGTTAGTGATACTGAATGCTGGGGGTCTTTGCCTCTGTTTCGCCGCATTGTCTGGTGAAAGCAAGTTTTTTTTGGAGGGAGGGAGGAGGAGTGAATGGGATGCAAAAGGGGGACAGTGTCGCCTCATGGAGCCCCGGCTGGAGACGTGAAAGCACCATGCGTCGGGAGGGTTTGGGTGCGATGTGGAGACGATGTTTCCTCAGTTCATCCTCCCGCACCACGCTGCTCTCCACACTGCGCTTCTCCACCTCTGTGTGGTTTATATACAGAGAAGGGAGAATCAGTGGGTGCGGTGGAAGGTGGCAATTTATTTTACATTAAAATGAGCAGCCGGTTCAGGATCCGGACGCTGCTTCCTTTCCCTTCAGGGGCTGCATTTTTTTTAATTTCTTTTTTGCCCTTCACCCTTCCACCCTCCCTCCTCTTCTGCCCTTTGCATGTTTAAGTCCGGCCGCCTGCCTCGCTCCTTTCTAGAGGACAATTACGGATGCAGAGCACGTTCAGATAACCACGTTCGCACCCTTTTTATAGGCTTTCAGTGTGGAAGTTGGGTAACAAACATGCGGAGTCCAGGTTACATTTCCCCTTAGAGATATAATACCTGCAGAGGACAAATGAACCAGTCGCTTAAAGGCGCATTTGGAGACAAATTTGCGCAATTCTATGCGCCCTCCCCTCCTTTGCGCAAACCAGTGCCATTGGTGCTGATGGAGTGCCTTGGCACATACATCAGTGCAGAGCAGGTTGGGGAGACATAAGAGCCCGGACCCGCAGTCTGACTTTGAATGGGTTTAATTCAGCCTCACATCCGTTGGATTTTTAGTCACACACGTTAAATCCGAGGCTGATTTTACTTTCTGCCTGACTGTGTTCTAAATAGGGAAATGAAACTGTAGCAGAGCCTCATACATCAGTTAACTGTTCCTGTAAACCTGGCACATATTAGAGGAAGCAGCAGATTCTCCTCCTGATGTGAGACTACAAACGCTTCATCTTGCAAGGAGTGCTTGACACATCAGGCAGGTACCATCAAGGCTTTCCAGGCAATCTTTTTCCAGCTGACTTCAGTCGAGGGCTTTATGGGCACAGCACAGAGGAACTGTAGCTCATCCACTGTGGATGCTATGAAATATTTATTTACGACAATGAAAAACTGAAGCGCAGCCAGAGGTCTTTACGGCCTTATTTACCTTCCAGCAGTGGTGCAGTTGGTTATTGATGGAATGTGAGATGTTGTGCAGAGCGGAGGCTGCATTTTAGGCAGCACTATGAAACAGGCTCAGATTAACATAAGGGACATATGGGGTGTGTTTTACAATAGAAACTGAACGTTCAGGCACACACACACACTTGCACAACTTCCTTCAGACATGTAGCTGACAACTGTTGGGTCACAGTGTTGTAAATGAGTCAGTGGTCAGTGTCTGAGAGGAGGCTGAGCTTCATCCAGGCTTAAAGAAGCATGGTTAGCATATCACAGGCACAGCGTGGGAGGCTATATGTAGTATGGGATGTCAATGGTTTTTAACGTTAACATACAGTATTATCATTGCTATCAATATGCTATTAAAACTATTTTTTTTCTGTTTTGGTTTTATTATAACATTAATGGGATTTTTTAAAAATTTATATTGTAACATCAAGATTTTTTAGCTTTTTTAAACATATTTTTCAACATTTTTTTTTAAAAAAAAAATATTTTGTCAATTTTTTTTATTTTTTATTCTTTATTTTGGCTTCTTTCTTCTACCTGGGTTTTTATGGGCTACCTAGGTCGACACCACATTACTCCCTAATTATTCATATACAGTGATGAAAACTGGCATTTATTTTTGCATATATGAGTCAGACTGAACACTGTAGGCTAATATACCCAATATAAAGCTAAAGATTAGCAAATGTCTCCCCAAAATATGTTTTTTTCATGAACATGGTCTTTTCCAAAGAAAATTTTATGTTCCCACGCACCAAAGAGTTGCTTTGCTTCTTCCTGTGAAAAGGACCCTGTTCACTATAGTTTACAGTAAACAGGGTTCATTCATGGCAAGGACAGGCCAGGTGGTGCTTCTGCTAACGTAAAGTGACGTGAAAAATCTGGAGGAGATCAAAAAAGCTGCTGATTTTGCCAATCTGCTGACGTAAAATCCAGTTTTAACCATTATTTTTAATTCAGTATATTTTTTTTAAGCAACATTTTTTCATAGTTTATATAAATACAGGAAGATTGTTACAATTTCTTGAAATAAAAGCTAAAATAACTGCGCTGAGCCCTTAGTTTTTCCACATGCTAAATACCGCACTGTGCTGATAGGTGATACCATGACCCCCATCATCTAATTCAATAGTGAATAAGCAAATAGGTGGCCCCAAGTGTCAGACCCTGAGGAAGAGTTTCAGAAATCAATATGCAGATTGATGCATTCTCTGCAAACTCACCATCCAGCATAGGTCACTCGTTACATGTGCGACCCCACGATCATTTTTAAGTCCATAGGCTAATACGTGGGCGTACAGCTACATTGTAATGCATGGCAACTGTTGTCAGGTTCAATACAGATGATATGATGACATAAGTGAGATGCGTATGTCATGCATTGTTAGCATGGGTGTGTATGATGGGGAAACAAACCACTAACGCTGTCAGAGTAAGATGTCAGCACCGATAAGCTGTTACTTATATCACAGTGAAGCTAATAGTGTCATGCTAATCTGAGTAAAAGCCAGGCAGACAAATGTCACTGGGAAGATTGGTAGCCTTGGTTAGCTAGTGCACTGCATTTGATGCCCGACCACTATAGCACATTAACAGAAGGGTGCTGTTTCACCAGGTTAAGAAAGCAAACTTAAACCTGGAAGTGTTTATATACCTGATAAGTGGAGCCAAAGGTGATTTAGAAAGCAAGGGTAAATTTCCTGTAAATTTCCAGGATATATGGGGTAATTCTGAGTTATACTTCTTGGATGAGGCAAAAGCCCTCAATTGTCTCCACCATGGCTTGGATAAAAAATGCATGTAGTACTTTCAACAAGCAAATGAACAATGGGATATAAAGTATTTCTGTGTGTCCTTGCAGCCAGTTGTTGTACACAGTCAGCACAACCCCCACACCGACAGTAATGGGCCCAGTGATAATAAAATATGGATGAATTTAAACAAGGTTACATGGGATGCATAGTGTTGTGTACTGTAGCATAGGATGATGAAAAGCTTCTATACAAAGTATTCAAGTCAAATTAATATCAGAAACTAATTTATGTTTTAATCAGGGTTCCGTTCTCTGTGTAGAGGCAGATCTTTGTTGTTTGTTGACGGATAAAAAAGACTGATATAAAGCACACATTGACATATCTCATAGTTGATATGGCAAGCATTGTTAGCAGATGGCTAACTAGCATCCGGTTTGAGACAGTGCATCATTAGCATTCCTTTAGAGTCATGTTTCTGTCCAATATTCAGTCTTCTAGCTCTGTTTTGGTCTCCACCAAATCCTGTAGGAAACAACTGGGTCTTAAGCTGCAAAATGCTGCACCGTGTTTACCAGTTAGTTGCTAACTTGCTCTGTCAGCAGTCGGTGTATAGTAGGTTTATCAGAACGTTTTTTTCCACTCATAAATGCTGCCTCCTTTTGCTGAAAACAGGGTTGATGACCGCAGTAAAGTGTGGTTTATATTTGTGTGTTAGTTCAGTGCAGAGCCTGCGCCCTTGTGAGCATTTGTGCAGTGGTGTGTCTGTGTCACTCTGCAGTTACACCTCCAAAACACTAATTGGTGGTGGGGTTTCTGGGAAGTGCTGTAAAGTTTAGTTGATTCAGAACACACATTAAACACACATTAAACATGGCTTAATAGAGACAATTTCAAACACAAGTACACAAATCAGCTTCACTATAACTCACAGCATTCACAGACAAACACTTGTCTTTATCTGGACACATTTTCCCCACAAATACAACATGCTAACGTTATTAGCACAAGCCTATGGCAGTTTACATTGTATAAATTAGCCTAGCAGCTAACAGAGATTTCCCTTACTCACATGAAGCCAGGATAAATCACACTCAAGACTTAAAATGCTATTTTAGTGGAGGCTTTATTGTCTTCACAATTTATTGTTTCTTATCTGTGAAGTAAAAGTAAATGAAACCTTTGTTTCCTCTGAGGGAAATGGTTTCAGCTCTGTGTTGCCACGACATGTAGTTACATTTCTGGGGAGGTGCACGTCAGGCTATGGCCGTAGGGTATGGCTCCGAATCAAAGCAGAAGTATAAATCCCGCTTAAGAGTGAACTAAAATGGCAAAGTTGTGAGCTGCAAAATGAAAACAAGGAGCTGAAGGCCACCAAAACGCTCTGTAGAGCTGTAGGTAGCAATAATTTTCTGTGGGTTTGCCATCATACACACACTCATTTGACCTCTTGACAATACAGAAGTATTGACTGAGTGCAGGCATGATGTCAAACTTTTGTGCATATTTCAGTTTTTGAGATCAAGAGCAGGGAGGGAAAAACATGAAGCTTCCATTAGACTCAGACAGTTTGCCAGTGGCATGTTGTTGTTGAATGCATATTGTGCTGTCCTGTGCAGAAGCAGATACCAAGAGAACATGTTTCAGGTTTTCAGACAGGCTGATGATAGAAATGCTCTTTGAGAAAAGCGACTGACTTGCAGATGATAGTGGAAGCAGGGCTCGCTGAAGGGGGCGGACTTCGTCATCACAGCCGATATCTCTGCCCATACTGATTATACCACCCACCCCTCGAAGGAGGGTTTCTATGAGGTTAGTTTGAGGATGATTGCCTGCCTTTGGCTACCTCCTCTCCCATGAATGAATGGAGCAGTGCAGATAAGGGGAAGTGATTTATTTGACTTTTAAGTTTTTAAAATGATTTTCCTCTGTATCCTGTTCGTTTCTCGTATCTCGCCATCAGCCTTCCGCGTGTTCACGTTCCTCGTC